CGGGTGTAGTGCTTCTGAATCGAAGAGACTACATCGAGAAAATGAACGATATACTGTCGAATGAAGACAAATTTTCCCAACCTTCCAATGAAAGAAACAAGACGGAACAGATTGAGAAGCAGCTCACAGATGTCTTGAAGAGAATGAAGGCCAGTCAACTAATCAGTGGGGATATCTACGATCAGATCCGGCCAACAGGTTCAATAATACCAAGACTTTATGGTCTACCAAAGGTACACAAGGTTGGTCTCCCACTTCGTCCAATTCTGGATATGTCAGGTTCCCCTTACCACTCTATTGCACAATGGCTAGCAGATATTCTGGAACCTGTAAGGAAGCAATTATGTACACACTTCTCCGTGACACCTTCCAGTTCATCGAGTGCATACAAGACACGAATGTATCTAACAAAATTATGCTGTCCTTCGACATCGAGTCACTTTTCACCAATGTCCCACTCACAGAAACGGTCTGCTTCATATGCAGATATATAGATGACAACCACCTCGATATTGGAATACCGACAACATACTTGAAAGAACTATTATTGAGATGCACTCTGAACGTCCAGTTCACATTCAACGACACCATCTACAGACAAAAGGATGGTATTGCAATGGGATCTCCGTTGGGTCCACTACTATCAGATTGCTTCGTGGCAAGCCTCGAGAGAGGTTCACTAAAGCCAAGCATCGACAATTTGCGACTGTATAAAAGATACGTGGATGACATTTTCATTATTTGTGACAACAACAACGACCCCAATCTGCTGCTGAAGACATTTAACAATTGCCATCCAGCAATAAAATTCACTCTTGAAATGGAAAACGAGTCAAAAATTCCGTTTCTTGATGTGGAACTGACAAGAAGAGCTGATGGGAGCCTAAGAAGATCAATCCATAGAAAACCTACGTGGAATGGTCAACTAACAAGCTTCTATAGCTGGGTGCCCATTCAACAAAAGCGAAATTTAATTAAATCACTTGCTACCCGCATCCGACGCATCTGTAGTCCCGACGTTCTGGAAACAGAATTAGATATTCTGAGAGAAATATTCATCCAAAATGGATACCCAATAAGATTTATCGACAAAAATATGAAACCAATAATTCGGAAAAACGAAACTTTAACTGTGCCTAAAAAAAATCTACATGAATTTGGATTTCAAGGGAGATTTAGCAAGCGATATTCTCAAGAGAAGGATCACATCATCTCTGAGAAGAACGTTCTTTGCAGCAACGCTACGAATAGTGTTCTCCAGTCGCCCACTGATCTGCAGAAGCCTCAAGGACAAGATCCCGCATCTGGCCACTTCTATGTGCATATACCAGTTCACCTGCTGCTGTGGAGCCAGGTACATCGGTCGTTCGACGCGCATCCTGTCCAAGAGAATTCAAGAACATTATCCAGCATGGTTGCGAAAAGGCAATACTGGTGCAATAAGGAGTGCGATAATTGAACACCTGGTCAACACTGATCATTGCATTTCAACGAACGCCTCCTTCAAAGTAATCTACAGAGTCAAGAATAACATATCAAAGGCAATACGGTTTCGTCTCCTTTGCATCGCTGAAGCTCTGGCCATTCACATGGAAAAACCGGAGCTGTGCATACAAAAGAAGATTACTCAACCACTTCTACTCTCATCGTAAGGAAAGTGTTTGTCTTGCATTTCCAATCCTGCCTTTAACGTCACTTGCACTGCTTGTAGTTGAATTTTAGTGATGAATTAATGGTCACCAAACAGTAATAATGATAAACACCTTTTCGAAGGAGTAATTTTATGGAATTACTATGGAATTCTCACTCTTTTGTTACAGCAACCAAATCACTTCTTTTACAGACAAAGACAAAATAAAAGGAATCTAGAAACCTATAGTTTGTGCTCACTTAGTAACACAAAAAACGCCATCTGATTATTATTTTTTTCAGTAATTCATCGCTCATCACCATCCTTGTGCGATATTAATACTCCGATTTGAACATATGCTTACAAAACAGGTTTTAAAAATGCGCGACCAAAAATGACACTTTTCGACAACATTTCAGATGATTCAAACGAAATCCAAAAAAGGAGGATTTGGAGGCAGTACGATTTTGATAAAGGGGAAGGGTTTCTTTGGTAGTCCAAAATCTACAAGCGCTCCGTCAAAGGTCATGGGTGACGAAGGAATTATCACGTTGAATTTGCGTTCGTTAAAACAAATTTTAAAATGAATCGTTTCTTTAGTTCCCAAGATGAATCTGATGAAATATATGGTGTTATTCAAGTGTTTGTTTTGTAGGGATTTAATTGGTCACAAGATTTCATCATGAGCTGATATTGGTTAGAGAATCATTGGAAAACCAGCTGGGAGTACTTCCAGACAACTGTTTCGCCACCCTAGGTCGAGACTCTTCAACATTACTCAGTCACTGGGGTTCAAAACCAGGATCTTCTGGTTACAAGACTAGCGACCTCGTGGACCATTTAGCCACTGGGACCCGATCCACTGGCCAGCCCATGAATTCTAACTTCTGCCAATTCACGACAATAGTGCGACCCCTAGCCAATGTCTTCGGGGAGTATTCGTCCTCACAACCGACCTGCCGCACTCTACTGGTCACGACTTCTCACTAGAACCCTTGTGTTAAACTAACACAAGCTTCTAATGAATATACTAGTGTACTTTTTATGTGGACCAGGTTTATGAAGTACACCTTATCATTAAATAAACCTTTTTTTCATTCTTTAGAGTTGTAAATGTAACGTTAGGATTAAAGCTTGTGTTGTTTTATGTGTAGAGTTGTTGGCCTAACTCCAAACTTTTAATCTTTCGCATGTTTACCACCCCCGTCAGGCAAGGTTAAGGACTGTGTCACTGGCCAGGAATTGAACCTGATCCATATGTGAACCGTTGTTGGTGAGCACCGTATCCATAATCTATGGACGCTTACAGGAAAAGTATATTTTATTGAACTGACAAATAAGATTTTTGTATCAATCCGATACAAAGTCAATTCGGTCAGATGCCTCACGAATAGAGCATGACGTATCTGTACACATGACTTCCTACAAAATGAGTTAGGATACATACAAAATACGCTGGTCCAAATGGGTTATCCTAGTAGATTTGTCAGGAGACACATGAACACCAAGTACAATAAAGAGAAACTGACAACAACAACAACTGTTCGTGAAGCTGCAATTTAATGGGGACGTGGCTAGTGAAGTCTTACATCAGAGATTATCGAGAGCAATAAAACGGACTTATACTGCCGCCACCCTTTGTTTATCATTTTCTAGCTGCCGACCAATTATGAATGCTCAAGTGAAAGACAAGCTACCTAGCTGTGCCACTTCTATGTGTGTATCTATAAATTTAGTTGCTCTTGTGCAGACAGCTAAATAGGGCGAACAACTAGACAGCCTAACAAATGCATTAATGACCATCTTCGTTCGTGGTTCGGAAAGGGCCAAATAAAATCTATAGTAAGTTCTGTTTTGGCTCATTTGATTGTGATAGCGGCCACCAAGTGGACAAAAATAGTGCCTTCAAAGTTATCTATCGCATTCCATCGAGTCTTTCAAGCGGGAATCGAATCCGTCTTTTACACATAGTCGAAGCTATGGGAATTAATTCGAGAGAACAATCCTAGTCTTTGCATACAACAAAAGAAGTTCGTTCTACCGCTGTCTCTCCCTTGCTTAGCCTAGGTGAATTCTATTCAAAACCCTCCCACCCTTTCTTATTTTCCATCTCCTTCGTACTTTTATGATATTTATTTAAACTCTGATTATCTGTCCACTACATCTACCTTTAGTATTACGTAACTTTTAAGATTTGAACTAATTTATTTATTTATTGAATTGTCTACATATACACGCGTATTACTACCTTTGTTATTCTTATCGTCACCTGCATAAACCTTATTATTAATATTTTTTTATCATTAAAATCATCGTTATTAGCTACGTTCAAAACATTTACCACATTATTATTTTTATTGGATCCACAAATTCACCGTCGTTAGTTAAAAAGTTATATATATAAATCTATTAAGAAGACAGTTGCAGCGAAGAAAATTTCATTTTCGACGAAGTCCTGCAGAAGTATTTTCTTTGGAACGGCTAAGACTTGTTCGAAAGTCTTCTTTGATTTGAGATTCTTGTCTATAAACCTGGGTGGGAAACTGTTTTCCATCAGGGTTTTTCGGAGATTACTCAGTTCTTCTTCAATCACTTCCTCGCTGCATATCTTCCTAATTCTCGGGGAAAGAGCGTATATCAAGTTCCTCTTTCTGTTTAGGGGCATGAAGCTTTGAATGTTGTAGGCTTTTTGTATATGGGTCTATTCATAGAGTTGTTGGCATTTCTTTCCAGATGGACGTCGAGGAAGTGGAACATTCCGTCGGATTCAGTCTCAAGTATAAATTCGATGTTTAGGTGAGCGTTATTGAAGATTTGAAGTAGGTATTTTAAATCACAATTCTCACCACAAATAATGAAAGTATCATCGATGTATCTCTTGTAGAGATGAAGGTCGTTGATAGTTAGTGATAAGGGGTTATTTTCTAAGCTAGCCATAAAGCAGTCAGCTAGGAGGGGTCCTAAGGGAGAACCCCTTCGCTGCAACTGTCTTCATATAATCTATGTAAATTAGATTAAAGCCTGAAGAAGATCTAACTGAAAGTACAATATTGTTCGCTTATATTTCTTGTTTTAAATATCTACTGAGTTATGATATGTGTTGACTGTCGTTTATTTTAACAATCACAAAGAAGTGTTTAACTGCCTTGAGATTCTTGGTGATCCTCAGTTGGAATATTTTGAATTTATATATATATATATATATATATATGTTACAAACAGGTTTGATTGACTGATATGAACGTATATATATATAAAGTCATTGAGTTGTGTCATATGCACACATATCATCATGAACATCAGAAAATCCACTGGCAGAGTATTCATAAAACAATTACATCATCAGGAAAGAAAAAAAAGGCAAACTAACCTGACAATTGACAATGACACCTGTCTTCTAGCATTTCTTGCATACAGTCATGCATACAGCTAGCCCACACTGATTGACTTGTACAGTGTTGCTTATATATCTGTAACAGTAGAGGAGACAAGCACAGACAAGTTAGTAAAACTATTTTTTTGGTCCCCCCCCACAAACAAAAACCACACAAGTACATATTAATCAGCCAAACTTACAGAAAATAGTTTCAAAACACGCCAGAAATTTTAGAGGCTTTCTTTCAACCCTTCCTTGAGTTTTAAAAAATTTTAATATATAGTATTAATGATTGAGTAGTGTTCACTGAGAAAACATATGTGTTATAATTTTAATAAAAAAAAGAAACTGATAAAACTAAAGGTGATTCAGAAGAAAACAAAGTTTCTGTATTAAACAAAATCATCTCCAGGCGAAGTACACACTTTAATTGATGTGTAAAACTTGGTCACTTTTGTAGCAAGTAATTCAGGTTATAGGTCTCATAGAAATTTTGGATTAATTCAGACGATTACGAGGAAATTAAGAAAGACAGTTCAAAGGACTTTTAATGCTGGCGAACTACACGTCTTATTCTCTACACGACAGATGGTGCTACCTCGACTGAAAGATAAAGTACCTAGACTAGCTGGTCACTTCAAATTGTATCTACCAATTCAACTGCACTTGTAGTGGAGCGAATTATATTGGCCGTTGCTCTAGGAACTTGATTTTTCGTGCTCACTTTAGAACAACTCCATCTATGGCTAAGTAAAGGTGTAGTGAAACCATTGTCAAAAGTTCGATACTGGACCATCTGGTGCACACTGGCCACAAAGCCAGCATGGAAGAATCCTTCTCTATCACATACCAGGTACTGACCAAATAAATTGAAAAAGATATCGAATCACCGCATGCTCAAAACAGCAGAGGCTATGGCAATTCGCCTCTAACAACCAGTGCTCTGTGTTCGAAAGAAGCAAGTCCAGCCAACCCTACTGCTGCTCTGGGCAGCCTTCAGTTGAGATGATAAATTCATGAATTTGTAATATTATCTTTCCTAATTCAACTGGCATTCAGCTTATTGTTATGTTGATGCTATTTAGCTGTAATCTATCAATATTATTGATCTGATGTTATTTAAACAACATTAATGTTGTTCATAACACTAATTCATTCATTCATTCACTATAATGCATATATATATCTGTAGAGCCTGATGATGAAGGAGTTTTCGAAAAGCGTACTCTTTGTTCAGTATCCATTCTTTTGAAAATTTTAATGGACATTTTTAATCAGTTAATTCAGACTGTTAGATTTTCGTCAGGAATCAGTATGAGTTAGAGATATCATTGAAACCCATGGCTCCCAGGAAAGCTGTTCCGTCCAATTTTTCGACTCTTTAATCAGAGTGACCACATGACGTCACTAGAAATGAAGTCGGGACCTCCAAGTCTCTTGGGCTGGATGTCAATAAACTCCTGAATTCTTATTTCGTCAGATTTTGGTAAGACGCTGTCCTCACCAGTACTTTCGATGGGTACTAGCGGCACATTGTAGACCCACCGGTCAAGAAGATGCCTATTGTAGCTTCAGGAAATCCATCCAGTGACCATCAGTAACCTGTTGATTGACATTCAAATCATAGCATAGTTAGGATTATAGTTGACAGGGTTAGAAATCAGGGGTCATTGAATTCAAACCCAAGTGGCTGAAAGGCCTAAGCTGATAGCTTAGCTTTGTAATTTGGAGACTCCGGATTCGAACTCTGGTAAGGTCGTGAATTCATACTGATGAAGATTACTGAAATGTGGCGAAATAGCTGTCTTGATGCTGGTTCACGATGAAGATCTAAACATACTCACCTGTTTATTGGACATGCCACACAGTGAAACAATATATTTTTTTCACTGAATAATGAACTTTAGAACACAGTTTCTTGCTAATAATTATTTATCTGCATGATATATTCAATAAACATCCTGCTTTCAACATTCAATGTCCAAAGAATAAAAATCATTTCTAAATTATCCACGCCTATGAACTTCAGTCCCGATAAAAAGAAAGTATGAACAGGAATAAAAAGACTACAAAAAGTATACTTCAAAGAAGAAATTCAGAAGATAGTGAAGAAGATAAGATAACACATTTAGAAAATAGCTCAGATACAGCACAAAACGCAGCTGCATAACCATACGTTAGAACAGAATAAGATAACCGTGTTGAAATCTGATATAACAGGGTGGATGAAGAGATTGATGAAGGAAGCCTTATTTAACGAATCAATAATCATAATGATAACAACAGATATTTTGGATTTCATCATAAGCTGACGTCGGTTAGAGAATCATTGGAAAACCACTAGAGATTACTGGACAGTTGTATCGTCCAAATCTGGGACCCTTCATTAGTACGCACCCACCGCCAGGGTTCGCACTCAGGACACTCTGGCTACAAGGCGAGCGAGCCGGTAGACTATCAAGCCATCGAGACTGAGCCATTGATCCAATGGCCAGCCCATGAATTCTAACTTCTGTCAATTCATGACATAGCACCACCACTTCGCAATGTCTTCTTTGTTGAGTTACTGTCTCATCTTCCACCTGCTATGGTGTAAAAGTTATGGCTTCTTCCTAGAACCCTAGGTTAGCTGCCTGAATAAAGCCAGTCTTTATTGGGCAACACATTAATTTTCATGTGTTGCTTTTGTAAGGAATTTCATTTGATTGGTTGGGGGATTTCATCATGAGCTGAAATCAGTTAGAGAACCACTGGAAAACCTGGGAGTACTGGACAGGTTCGGGTCTCTTCATCAGTGCAAATCTGCCGAGCTTCCCAATGGTTCACTAACCAATGTCGGTTCACGATCAAATCCTGCAACCAATCAATCAAATCCCTACAAAGCAATACTTGAATAACAGATATTTTTGTGAACAATATTTATATAATGTAAAAAATTGTTTATTGCCTGATAATTTCTCTTTGTCCAGGATTTTCAAATAAATGACCAGCTGACTGTGGACCAACCAAGAACAACAACAGCAGCAATATCCAGTGCCAATCATCATCAACGGGAGGGATTTGAAAGAGATTAGTTACTTCATTCACTCACTTATCTAGCATTGAGCATTGTCTCAACTACAGAAAGTCAAAACGGAAGAGGATGTCAAATCGAGCGAGAATCGGGAAGGCGAGCGTGAAACACATTCATCAACCTGAAATCAATCTGGAAGGAAATCTTCGTCACTCAGCCAGCATCAACAATAAAATTCAGTCGGATTTTCAATACAGAGGTGGTCAAGTCAGTCAGTTCTTCTATACGGATGAGAAACTTGGCGGGTGGGTCACAAAGAATATTTCCAACCAACAGCCTGTTGCGATGCAGACCTTTATCAACAACTAAACGTCTTCGCTGGATCTATACTGATGATCAGATGGCCGGGCCGGGCTGGAGAGGATCACCGACAAGAAACTATGAAAACAAACAAAACAAGAAACAATTGCAGGAGAAAGTGGAGATGGATGGATTGGACACTCGCTGAGGAGGCGGCTGAGTGACATCACGCGTCAGGCCATCGCTCGAGTGTAACCCGAAACGGAAGCGGTGAGTGGGACGTCAGTTCAAAGGTGACATGGAGGAAGTCGTGTGAAGAGGAGTTGAAAGAGTATAGACTTACATTGATCGATGCAGGTGAAAAGTGGAGGAGAAGACAGAAGTGGCAAGTGGAGACGTGGAGTTGAAGCCGTATGTTCCACTAGGAACCCAAGGGAACAATAATAATAATTCTTACAACTAACGATACTATGATTCACAATAAATTGTGTACGAAAATTTGTCAACCAATAAATAATATTTTTCACCATATGATATATATCTAGTTAACAAAAAAAAGATGCCGGACTTATTTGTGGGCCCTATATTGTGTATAAGAGTGTGTCATTCAGTGTTAAGAGGAAGAATCATCATGATGCCTTTACTGCTCCACATTTTCCAAGTAATGATCGCATGCTTTCTCGTGGAGAAGGTGGAATAATCGGTATAATCATAGACAGAGAGTACACAGACCTATAAGGTAAATCCCAGTGTTCCCCTAGCTAAGAATTGACAAACAAAGGCTAGATGTTAAGACGGATAAGCAAGTTTCTTTGTCGGTCTTGAAGTCATGATTTATGAGTCGATTAGCAGAATATAATGATGTTTTGTATAATAACGAAACCTCAGAAACATACAGTGGTCAAGAAGCAGTTCATAGAGCTAAGGAAAAAAATGAAATTCCCTGGGTGTCATCAAGGCAGTGAAGGTAGGCGTTCAAATTTTAAAAAATGCAAAGCAAGCTGGTTGATTATCTACTTGACAAAACGAAATTCACCAGCTGAATGAATTAATTCACCTAAGAAGCTTGGAAACCTCCGCAAAGAGGCACTCAGAGAAGAGTCACTCTTTTCATTCTCAGGCTGTACAATTCTCCCAGCAACGAAAGGATTATTTCCAAAGGCCAAACTCTGCCCCAGAACACGCTGTGATACACTCTGAACATCAAGAGAATTTGGAGAACAACTGTCTTTTTGTTGATTATCAGGTGGCACAACAGTTAAGACGCACTCCGATCATGCATATGGTCGGGGGTCCGATCACCGGCCGACGCACACCTGACATGATTAATGGTCGGCCTGCTAAATTTGGCCTATCGATATCACATGCAGAAAATCCCATAGTTGTAGCAAAATACTGTGTGGAATCAAGCTATAGTAATAACAATAAGAAAATAGTTTACTCTAATCTAAATCGGACCTACCTACCCAACCACCCGGGAAGCATCGTTCCAATTATAGGCGGAACTGACGAGGATATCAAAGCAAGAATCGGGAATATAAGACAAGCTTTCATTACTCTCAAGTCTGTGTGGAGGTCAACAGCCCTCCCTACTCAGCATGACAATGAAAATAAGATCAGGATTTTCAACTTCAATGTGAAGTCAGTCAGTGCTACTATACGATTGGATCAGAGACTTGACGAGTCATGAAGAGCACCTCAAACAAACTACAGACTTCCATCAACAGCTGTCTTCGCTCAAAACTAAGGATTAGATAGCCTGCCAAGAAGGTCAGCAAAAG